TGGTTCTCACAGGACACACAGACGCTTCGTGGGCAGACGACGCTGAGACGCTTAGGTCCTCTCAGGCCTTGGTGCAGGCGCTATCTCGTGGAGGTCCACCCACTTATCGTCTGTAGCACAGTCCAGCTGTGAGGCTGAGATCTATGCTAGTGCCATGGCAGCACAGGAGCTTCGCTAGCTGACGTTCTTACTTACTGACTTAGGTGAGCTACCTAGCTCTGCCCCGGTCATGTACGCGGACAACAGAACCATGTTCCTCCTTTGTCAGGAGGCTTGACTAGAGGGCAAAGCGAAGCACATCCAGCTGCGGTACTTCCTCCTGCGCGAGCTACAGCAGCGCGGCCAGGCATGCGTAGTACACTTGGCCTCTGATTCCAATGCAACTGATATCTTTACTAAGGCGCTTGCACGTAAAGATCATCAGCGACACTGTTTAAAGCTTGGTCTGGTTCCAGTAGCTCCTCACTTGCTAGGGCCCTGATTTGTGTGCTCATTATTATATTATCTTGCCTGTCTACACTTGCTGACTGGCCTTGTGGCTCTTGTCTCAGAGGCTGGACTAGTAGTGCCGCCCTGAGTTACCCTTGTTGAGTTTGTACTCTTGCTGGTCTTCGGACCCCTACCTCAGAGGTTGGACTAGTAGTGCCGCCCTGAGTTGTGTGTCTCTTGCTAGGCACTGCCCGTTATCTAGCCTAGAGTGTGTGTCAACGTATACATATCTGTTATATGTATGGTTGTAGGCTAGACAGATACTTGCCATTAGAGAGTACAACACAAACACATATATTCCACCAGTATGCCCTAATAGAGCCACTTCGCTATTTTGTCAGACTGCTCAGCTGAGGGAAAAATAATGTGGAGGCTCTGAGCTGAGAGAGCTGTCTATTCTAATTCTGGTGGCAGCTCTCACCTACCTCAATGCTCCTTGTTATGAATCTGTTGTGTGTGAAATCTAGCCTCTTGCAACCATCCATCACACCCCTTACTCTTCATTGACCCAGTGCTAAAAATAATCACTTTCACATTCTTTTGGCGCAATTGTATGTGCATTGGGCACATCACACTTACAAAAACAAATGCCTGCAGATACCGTAGGATACATGTAAGGGGCTCTCCTGCCCTGTTACCTGTGGCAGCACACCCGGAGCCCGCCAGGACAACATACCAGGGCCTCAGATATTAGGATGTTTTATCCTGAATTCCTTATTTTCAGGATGCCTGTTAGGTACCAATCCTGGAAAATCCGTTTAAGGTCATTTTTCACCGCGTGAATTCAGTTTTGAATCATAGTGCAACCCTAAGGATTCAGTAACGTGTTCGTGTACCAGCCCTGAGCCGTCAGTATGCCTTCAGGGAGAACCCTGCTTCCTCGAATCTTGCAAATGCACGTGCGCCACTTGTGTTCCCCTTGTTTTTTCAGCCCAAAAACATTTTGGATAGGTCCTCAATGCTAAGGACAATCCTCTGAAACCCCTCATTACTCTAAAAATTCGGCTAAGTACAGAATGCTAGAGACAACCCTCCGAAACCCCCCTTCTGCTCTAGAATTCCGACTAAGTCCTCAATGCTCGAGACAATCTTTCCCCCCCACACCCCCCACTAGAAAATCTCGGCTAAGTAAGTCCTTACTGTCAGAGACATTCCTCCACAACCTCTACGCATCCCTAAAATCTTGGCTTACTCCTCATCGAATTCGTGATGCCCAGGTTTCGTCAAATCAAAATCCCGTCAAGTAAGGGTGCGTTTCTCACCTCTAGACAAGGTATTATTCTGGTCAAGTGGGGCGCTCAGAGCTCTAAACCGCTCTACTCAAGTGCGCAAAGTTCTCAACCGCTCTGGAAGTCGGCTACTTGAATTGACTAGAAGCTCGACTGGCGGCCAGAACTACACCCTCGTTCAACATCCAACCTCATCAAACTGGCCATCATAACCGGTTGATGAGAATCTGTGGGCGTGTACTTCTGCAGAACATCCCCAAGTTGTGCAACCCGAGTTGCGCAAATCTTGCCGAAACAGATTGTTCGGGGCATTCAACAGAGTGGTTGAGAAAGGTTATTGTCACAAGTTGCGCAACTCGGGCGAGTTGTGCAGCCCGGTTTTGTAGAAGTACCACGGCCTAACGGCGAAATTCGTCTGATTTTTCAGGCGCTGAATTCATTTTCAACTGAAAGCTCATGCTCTCAGGAAAATGTTGTCTGACAGTCAGGCTAAGAAAAAATTCCTAGTCGGATTTGTCCCAGGCGCTGCACTTGACGCAAACTCGGCCAATCGCTGCTAAGTCCTCAACCCAGCGCAACACTTGAAGCACGGACACCCTGTAAGTGTGCTGCTGCTGTTTAAAGTGACTTGGCAAATTTCCAGCGTTTCAGAATTTACCCTGAGGCCATAGTAAATAATTGGAGAACCACCCTGAGGAATCAGAATGACAGGTGGTGCAGGAGACGAAGTATAGAACCTGCAAACACAAATACTTGGAAAACCTCAAGTGTTAACCTAGGATCTTTACTGGAATGATAGACTAGTAAGACAGCGGTGTTAAAGTAGCTCTAGGCTAGGATACTGGGCAGGAACAAGGCCGCCATGAATGTGGCGGCGGGGTGCTAGGAGCTGGACGAGAGTGTCGAGAGAGAAGAGAGTTGGATTAGGAAGAGAGGGGAGTACAAGGAGGGGTTTGTACCCCCTACAGAAAGGTTCAGTAACAACCTACCAAGCCTATATTAAATTATAACTTATATAATTTGAACACACCCCCTAGGCTTGGTAGTGTCAAGCCCACTCACACCCCCACACCCACACCCACACCCACACCCACACCCCCTAGCCCAGCACCCCCATTCCCAGCAGGAGCCGCAACGACTCCGGAAGTGGGCAGCTCCCACGGCCCTTGGGACGGCAATGGCGGCAGCAGCGACAGTGACGACAGCGGCGGCGGCGGCGGCGTGCGGCGGCGCCCGGCCCGCGGCAATAGCGGCGGCAGCGGCGGCATGAACGGCAGAGGCTGGTGCAGCGGCCCCCGCCCTCTCGGCGGCATGTCCAGTCACCTTGGCGGTGGGGAGGGCCCGCATGAGGCAGTCGTTGGCTGCAGCAAGGAAGGGGGGGAAGCAGGGGAAGGAGGGGGGGAAGGGGGGGGAGAGGGGCGCGGGGCGTAGTCCAGACTCACGCCGGCGGCTGCAGAGCGGGCGGCAGGTCCGGCGGCACCATTGACGATGCGCGGCCGGCTGTCGCCCGATGACGCCGCCACGGCAGCCAACAGACGCCGCCACAGCGCGACGTCGATGCCGCGACGGCGAGGCGGAGGTGCGACTGTAGCTCGACTAAGCCGCCGCGGCATCTCAGAGAAGTCGCCACGGCGGCACGGAAAGGCAAGGCCGCCACGACGGCAGGAAAACGAAAGGCCGCCATCAGCGGCACGGTACGAAGTGAAACGTAAGACAAGGACGAGGCGGAAGCGTGGAAGGCAGGACCGGAAACGGCCTGCTCTGTTACCATGTTAAAGTAGCTCTAGGCTAGGATACTGGGCAAGAACAAGACCGCCATGAATGTGGCGGCGGGGTTTAGCTAGGAGCTGGACGAGAGTGTCGAGAGAGAAGAGAGTTGGATTAGGAAGAGAGGGGAGTACAAGGAGGGGTTTGTACCACCTACAGAAAGGTTCAGTAACAACCTACCAAGCCTATATTAAATTATAACTTATATAATTTGAACAAGCGGAACTCATAGAACTTGTTAAGTATTGACCAGAATTTACTGAAGAACAAGTTAACTAAAGAATGAAGACAGGCTACTTTTATACCTAACAGAAGTACCTGTTCGCTAATGTACCTGTTCGATACTATCGCGCAGTGTGCCCTAAATGACACTGAAGAGACGCGACTGCTCGCGTGACTGAAACGACTATCCTCATAACGAGCGCTATTTGCTGACGTCATCCTACGGACTTCTCTTCTACAGTAGGATTCGACACTATCTATCGATAATCGACGTACAGAAATTCTAAGTATAAATCATATCACAACACGACCAACCCTGACTGCTACACGTTTCTTGGGGAGCCCGCCCTGATTGGTCAGGATGCCTAAAATCCTATATGAGGCCCTGCTGTTAGGAGCCTAGTAGCTAGTAATGAGAACAGTCGAGAGATTTTAGCTAGAGAAAAGATAAGAGGAAAAAAAGGTGTTGGACTAGAAGTGAGGGGTACAAGAAGGGGGGGTTGTCCCTCTACAGTAAGATCTAGTAATTGTAGCACACCTACCAAGCCTACTCAATTATATATATATATATATAATATCATTTGACACACCCCCTAGGCTTGGTAGTCGCAAGCCCACCCAACACGCAACACCCCCAAGCCCGTGCACCCCCATGTTCTGCAGCAGGGGTGGCTTCTACCCCTCGTGCGAAGCAGCGGCGGGTGGCAGCAACGGCATCAGCGGCGGCTTCTGCGACGACGACAGCGGTGGCGGCGGTGGCGACGGCGGCTTCGACGACGACGGCGGCGACTGTGAAGCTCGCGGCACCCGGCGGCGTGGCACGGCCCGGCGACGACCGGGTATAGAGTCAGCAGCTGCGGTTGGAGTAAGGGGATACGCGGGGGGGGGGGGGTGCTTCAGCAAGGCGCCCGTGACTGGCGCACTGGCTGGCGTGCGGGCGTCATGGCTGGCACCTACAACGGTGCGCGGTCCACTGCCGCCCGTGCGCTGGCGCGTCGACACCGACACGGCAGCATGACGACGCCGCCACAGCATGGCGTCGACGCCAAGGCAGCGCATAAAGGCTGCCGTGGCAGCACGACGTGGCCGCCACGGCGGCGCGTAAGTGACGGGAGGGGCGAGAGGACGCTGCGGAAGCGTGATGACTAGGCTCAGCAGGATCGGCATGCTCTGAAACCATGATGAAAGGAGTTTAGGAGCCTAGTAGCTAGTCATGAGAACAGTCGAGAGGTTTTAGCTAGAGAAAAGTTACGAGGGGAAAAAAAGGTGTTGGACTAGAAGAGAGAGGGGTACAAGGAAGGGTTGTACCCTCTACAATAGGATCCAGTAATTGTAGCACACCTACCAAGCCTACTCAATTATATATATAAAATATATAATTTGACACCTGCAACATACTCTGAAGGTTTCCCTTTCAACTGCTTCCCCCGGGTGTCAAATGCCTGGTACAGTCCCCACACAAGCTGCCTGCATATAAGGCACAGGGAACTGCCATCCCTTACAGCCCTCGGGCACCGCACACAGCACACCCAGTGCCCATACCCGTACGCGATGAACACTGCCTTTCGCAGCCGCCCAGAGCACACCACAATACCGCACACCTGCTGCTGCATTGAGACCCCCTCATGTGTCAAACACCTGGTAGACACCCCTCACAAACCGCCTGTAGATGGGGCAAAGAGAGCTGCTGGCCCTCACAGCCCTGGCGCATCTAAGGCAGCACACCCGGTGCCCGCTTGGGATGAACAACGCACACCAGTGCACACCAGCGCACACCAGCGCACACCAGCGCACACCAGCGCACACCAGCGCACACCAGCGCACACCAGCGCACACCAGCGCACACCAGCACACACCAGCGCACACCAGCGCACACCAGCACACGCCAGCGCACACCTTCCTCAGTCTCCCAGCGCACACCACACACACCTGCTGACACCCCCTCACATGTCGAACACCTGGTAGGCTCCTCTGACAAACTGCCTGCAGGCAGAGCGCGCTGCTGGCCCGCACAGCCCTGGTGCATCTAAGACAGCACACCCGGTGCCCCCATGGGATAAACACCGCACACCAGCGCACACCAGCGCACACCAGCGCACACCAGCGCACACCAGCGCACACCAGCGCACACCAGCGCACACCAGCGCACACCAGCGCACACCAGCGCACACCAGCGCACACCAGCGCACACCAGCGCACACCAGCGCACACCAGCACACACCAGCGCACACCTTCCTCAGTCTCCCAGCGCACACCACACACACCTGCTGACACCCCCTCACGTGTCGAACACCTGGTAGGCTCCTCTGACAAACTGCCTGCAGATGGGGCAGAGCGCGCTGCTGGCCCGCACAGCCCTGGTGCATCTAAGACAGCACACCCGGTGCCCGCATGGGATAAACACCGCCTTTCTCAGTCGACCAGCGCACACCACACACACCTGCTCCGCTGGCCACTCGTGATCTAAGTCCAAGTCCAAACCCTCCCCTTCCTCCTCTCCCTCCTCTCCCTCCTCTCCCTCCTCACTCTCCCCTTCCCTCGTTCCTCCCATATTCCCCGCTCTTGCGTTTCCATGTGCATTCATCAGCGTCTCGTTTCGCCCGTCTCGTCTGGTCAGCTGGCCTTGAGTGGGGAAGAGCACGGGAGGGGCAAGGAGGTCCGGAAATTCCTCCTCTTCCCAGTGGCCAGCGCCCTGCCACATGGCAGCATCTCTGGCAGCCGCTCGGCTCTCCTCATACTCCCGCTCTCGCCTCTCGCTGCGCCGCTTCCTGGATTCATTCAACGGGGTGAGGGAGGGCACATGGGGTGAGGGAGGGCACATGGGGTGAGGGAGGGGGCATGGGGTGAGGGAGGGGGCATGGGGTGAGGGAGGGGGCATGGGGTGAGGGAGGGCACATGGGGTGAGGGGGCATGGGGTGAGGGGACATGGGGTGAGGGGACACATGAACTCTACTAGCATCAAGGTCTCACCCTGCCACTGTCCCGTTCTCACCTCCCCCACATGAAGCCTGCAACAGCAGCAGCCGCCAGAGCAAAGAGCACTCCCCACTCCACCTGACCCCTTACATGTCATCATCCCAAGGTAACCTTTCATCACACCGCAACCCCTTCTCACCTCCACCACATGTATACAGAGACAGCAGCGGCAGCCAGAGCAAAGAGCGCTCCCCGCTGCACCTGATCCCTCTGCCGCTGCTGCAGCCGCTGCAACGCTGCGTCTCGACTCTCGTTGAGGCTGTGAGTAACACAGACGAGAAGGTCGGTCGGGTTAGGGGAGAAAATCTGGGAGGTGAGAGGCGGTCGGAGGAAAGAGAGCGCAAAGAGCACTCCCTGCTGCATCTGATCCCCCCGCCAGAGCACGGGAACAACAGGATAGGCGGTGAGATGAGCGAGCAGCGACACAGCACTCCACTCCCCTCCGCTGCCGCAGACGCTGCGGCGCGTCAGCTTGACCTCCCTCCAGGCTGGAAAGGCAAGGATGAAAGGTGAGGGTTAGGAGAGAGCGGAGAGAGAGGGGAATAGGTTTGGCAAAGAGGGCCGGGCAGGTGTTTAGGGGCAGGTCGACCTCGGGAGGGTGCTTCCTTCTAGACAGGGAAGGAGGAGGAAGAGGGAGGGGTGGAAAAAGAGTCTTGAGACCTCTAAGAAAAGGAACAGCAGGAGAATTTGACATCGAGGGGAGAGGGACGCCAGGGAGGGGAGGAAAGGGTGGGTGGGGGCGGAAAGAAAGACAGAAAAGGATAGGGCAGAGAAGTTTCCTCACAGGAAGAAGGGAAGGTGCGGCGAAGGGACCAGTGCCGCCCGGCCGCCCTTGCTGATGTGGACGTGGCCGACAGCTGTCAGCGCGTGATTCACCGGCAGGACCCTCTCCTCAGATCTCACCCCGATTGGCATGCGCCGCCCGGCGAGGAGATGGGCGGCGGAGGCGAGAGTGGGCGGCAGGCCCTTTTGAAGGTGGGCATGCAGGGTGACTAGAGGGACTGGAGGGTGCTTCTGGGAAGGGTCTTTAGCCAACGAGATGTTGACACGTGGCGCTGAGGCGTCTGGAGATTCGGCCAGGCAGAAGGGAACCTGTATGGTGTGAGTGAGGGGGTGAGAGGGGGAAAGGGAAGGCGAATAGGGGGTGAGAGGGGGGGAAGTAGGGAGATGGGCGGCGGAGGCGAGAGTGGGCGGCAGGGCCTTGTCCAGGTGGGAGTGGAGCGAGACTAGAGGGACTGGAGGGTGCTTCTGGGAAGGATCCTTGGAAGGGATCATAGCCAATGAAATGTCGACACGTGGCGCTGAGGTGTCCAAGGATTCGGGCAGGCAGAGGGGAAGCTGTATGGTGCCGTTGTTGTGGGGGTGAAGGGGACAGGGGGAGAGGTAAAGTGGCGGAGGGGAAAAGACGTGGTATGGGCATGGACGTGGGCTTGGACGTGGGCATGGACATGGGTATGTATAGTTTTGAGGCGCCTCAAAAAAAGAAAAGACGTGGTATGGGCATGGACGTGGGCATGGACATGGGTATGTATAGTTTTGAGGCGCCTCAAAAAAAGAAAAGACGTGGTATGGGCATGGATGTGGGCATGGACATGGGTATGTATAGTTTTGAGGCGCCTCAAAAAAAGAAAAGATGCGGTATGGGCATGGACATGTGCATGTATGGCTGTGACGAATGAATGTGTGGCCTTCGGCTTCGGCTTCGGCTTGGGCCGGCCGGGCATGGCCACTTGCATGCATGGGCACTTACATGTGTATGTCTATGGGGACGGGGCACATGTAAGTGAATGTGTGTGGGGACATGACTTTTCATGGTCGGAACTCACGTACGTGCATGGGTAGACAGGCAAATGGGCGTATTGTAGAAGTTGACCATACCTCATACCTCTGGGTGTATGTGCATGGGCGGGCGGGCAGATGGGTGTATCAGTCATACCTCTGATCGGAAGAAGTTGACTCGCTCTGACTTGATGCGCCATCCCAAGAGGGCGTGGAGCTCCGAGTACACCATCTGCCACGTGGCACATGCATGAAGGGACACGTGGCACTCTCAAACTGCTGACTCGTGGCACTCGGTTTGCAGTAGCATCTGATCGAACAATGCTGTCGCAGTCCATGAAACAATGCTGTGGCACATGCAACATGAAACAATGCTGTGGCACATGCAACATGAAACAATGCTGTGGCACATGCAACATGGCATGCCATGAAAGTGCAGTGCAGGCTCGCACTTCCTGTCAAACACGTGCCTTGCATAACGCAGCACCATAGCTCAACCCCACTTGTGAATTGCCCATCTCGCCCCTCCCCCACCCCCTTCCCCCCCCCTCACCTCATCGACTCTCTCTACAATCACAGCTGCTGCAGTCACATCCCTCCCTGCCGCCGGCGCAAGGCCTGCCCATTTCTTAGGCGCCTCAAGAATCGCCTCGGCCAATTCACGCGCTGGAGTCGTCGGCGTGGCCGGCGTGGCCAGCACTGCAGCAGCGGAGTTGGATGGCTGCACCACCCCTCTCACTGCCACCAGGTCCTTCCACCGCGGGTGTGACTCTAATGGGGGCTCGCTTGTGACTGTATACCCGCCCCACCACCGCTTCTGCCACCGTTTGCACACAGCTGGCAACTCCCACAAGTCAACTGAGCCAACACCAAGTTCAGAGGAGTCAATCAGGTCAACCGAGTCAACTGAGTGAACATCTGCTCCGGTCTCTCGCCGTCTCACCGCCTCTTCCAACCCTTTCGCCAGCCTGTCCAACCGCCATGGCACTGGCCGCATGTCTCCCCCGTTCGCTCCCTCCGCTCCCCCGTTAGCTCCATGCGCCTCAGCGGCTCCGCAACTTTCTCTGCTTGCGCTATCAGCACCACCCTCTGTTTTGGCTCCACCCCCCTCTCGTTCCGCTGCCCCACAGTCGGATTCCCCCTCCCCGCTCCGCACAGCTGCAGCAGTTCCGCCATCGGCGGAACGTACTTCCGCCCGCCGCTCACTCTTCCGCTCCCCCTCCCGCCGCTCCCGATTCCGCACCCCCTCCCGCTCCCCCTTGCGTTCCCCTTTCTGCTGCCTCCGTCGCTGGAGAGCCTCCATTCGCGCGCCGACTTTTACCACGTCCGCGATTCGCGTCTCTCGCGCGGATCGAAGCGCGCCGATGGAGCGCGACGCGGCAACTATACTCCATATCGAGTGCGCGGCGCCGCTAGCGAGGAGCAAAAGGAGGCCCTTGGGCTCGTGAAATAAGAGACAGACGAGCCGCTCGCCGTGCTGGGTTAGTAATTGACGGACCACCGTTCCCCATGCGCCGTCGCTCATCGTTCAGGTTAAGTCCGGCTCGGTCCGGTTCCTCAAAAATACCTCCGGGCTCGGTCCAGTACGGTCAGTTCGATTTGGTGCACCCTAACCCGGCTTTCGCCGCTACGTTGCCCGGCGCTCGCCGTTGGCTTCGATTATTTTCGGCCCGACTCGGAAGATCGGTGCAGTTTCAAGACCGGTGCCTGGCGAACCCTCCAGCTCATTGGTTCGAACCTGTCTCGCCTCTTTTCGGTTATTCTAAGACTGCAAAAGAACGCGCACGCCGCGAAAGACGGAAACACTGTTCATAGCTCGCTAAGGTGATCAGACGCGGGGATTTGAAATCTTGATACGACGCGCTATAAGTGAAATGACACTCTCAATGACGGAGCAGCTGGGAAAACGGAAGGCTTGCAGACAGTGAAATGCCTTGGGGGGAGAAAGGGCGGGAGGGGAGAGGGATGGAGGGAGGGAGATTGGGAAAGGGAGGGTGTAGCGCGATCGAACGGCCAAAATTAAGGGACGCTGGAGGCGGTTCGTCTGGTGAAAAAGGGAGTGAAATGTGGCTGACGGAATCGTCTGCATCCGCGACAAGTGCATGCGACGGCTGAGATTTTCCCGTCGGTTGCTCCGAGCAACCGCTGGCTTGCGTGTATGAGTCATCCGACGACGGAATTGACGTGTCAGACAACCAAGAAAAAATATACGCTCCGTCACGCTACGGTAACTATTAAAATTGTACCTTCAAACCTTATCATGCAATACCTAGCAATGGCATCTCCACAAACAAGTTGCGCGAGACAAGGAAATGAGCTTGGAGCATTATGGGGTAATCTGATTCGAGACCATATGTTGGTGAAAGATTTTATTTCTGAGTGAGAACTTTCATCCCAACACACGGTATACTTTTCAAAACATGTTGATACTAGTAGTACCTAGTACCGGTGCCAATTTCAAGCATCATACACACGAAAAGCAGCTAGAACTTGCCCACGGCAAATGGGACACAACGCCTGCTCCACTCGCACAACCCTTGAACATGACAGGCAGCACACCCTGTGGCCACAGGGTATAAACACCGCCTTGCGCTTGCGATGCAAGCACACCACACACAGCTCCCCACTTTGCACCTCCTCCCCCACCACCTCCTCATCCGCATCCCCACCGCGGATCAAACTCTCCAGACTCCTTTCTAAGTCTGAGGGCGAAGCTGTTATCGCACCACTGTGCGAGTTTAGGACCAATCCACCGTCTGCCACAACCTGTCCTCTCCCTCCTGTTGCTTCTCCTGTTGCTCCTCCTGCTCCTGCTCCTGCTGTCTGCTGCTGTCTGTCTGAGAGGATCTGCATCCATCGCTCTAGCTCTGCCTGCTCCACTTGCTGCCGCTGCTGCCGCCTGGCCTGCCGGCGACGATATGTTCTGAATAGTCGTAATAGGTTTAGGAGGGCGAGGGGGGGGGGGGGGGGGGGGAGTGAAAGAGAAGACAAGAGAGGATCCTTTTGTGGCGACTAAGGAGGTCTCCTCGGTGCTGCCGCCTGGCTTGACGGCGATGTTACGTTCTGATTGGAGAAGAGAGAGAGAGGTGGGGAGCGGAAGAGGAGACATGAGAGGGGATGGGATGACAGGATAAGAGTGAAGCAGGAGGAAGGCAACGGTGAAGGAAGGGGGAAGTGGGAGAGGTGACATGAGAGGAGAGGGGGTGAGAGGGTAAGAGCGGAGAGGAGAGGAAGGCAGCGGTGCAAGAACAAGTGAGGGAGCTCGTGAAAGGAGAGGCTCATGGTGAACACATACTGGTGTGCAGTGGTAGCAGATAGCAGCACAGCCCATCTCAGCAGAATAACCAGCCGTGTACTACTTGATAGAAACACGTACCTCCACACAGCTAGTCCAATGGCGCCTGCAGCAGTGGCAGACATCCTATCCATCCACCCATACGCAAGCACATTGTGTGGAGCCCATGCACCTACACAAACACACACACGCACCTCCACACAGCAAGGCCAATGACGCCTGCAGCAGTGGCCGACAGCAGCACGCCCCATCCGAGCAGCGCCCCCCACCGCTGGTTCAGCTTCTGAATCATGCCCGCCTTGGTCTCAGGGAAGCTGGAAGAGAAAGGGGATTGGACGGGGGCGGGGGGTGGGGGGGAGGGGAGGGGAGATGGGAAGGTGTTGAGGAATGCTAATGCATCCCAGCAGAGCTCCCCACTGCTGGTTCAGCTTCTGAATCATGCCCGCCTTGGTCTCAGGGAAGCTGGAAGGAGGCGGGAGAATGGGGCATGGGGGAGGAGGGAGGGGGGGGGGGGTGGAGTGTGAAAAGAACACACTTAAGGAGGAGAAAATAGAGGCGGATGACGAAAATGATATCATGGAATACTGGGGGAGGGCGTAGAGGAAGGGGGCAGAGGGAGAGGAGAGGGAGGGAGGGAAGGAGGAGGAAGGTAGAGTGGGAGAAATGTGGGAGCTGGAGAAGCCACATAGGTTGGTGAGAATCACCAATTACAAGCGTACTGAATTGCGCTCGAGTTGTTTCCGGGAAGCGTCACTCATAGGGAGCATTTACAGGAAGTAGGGAAGGCGCTGGGAAGCGAAGATGGCGGGGCGGCCGTCGGATCCGCGCCTCACATGGCCGACAGCTGTCACCTCCTGATTGATGGGCAGCACCCGCTCGTCCGTGCGCAGGCCCACCTGGGGGAGGGGGGGAATGAAAGGCTTCGTTATAAGTGCTCGTTGTAGAGAGGCATTGATCACATATGCTCGCTGCAGAGAGGCATGGATGGCAGGCAGCAATCGCTTGTCATGCGCAGGCCAACCTTGGTGACTTTTGAGTCGGCTCAAAAGCAATCGTTCGTCATGCGCAGGCCAACCTTGGGAGGGCAGGGGGCAGGGGGAATGGGAATCAACATGCACCGTAGCGAAGCTGCATTGTAAGTACATGCACGGCCGCTCTCATCCCCAGTGATATTGAAAGGCAGCACCGCCCTCTCGTCAGTTCGTAGGCCAACCTTCGAGGGGAGGGGCGATTCAAACTGCGCCGTAGATTGAGAGCATTATGGGCCACACAGTAACAGCATATGGGACTGCATGGGAAGATCAGAGGTTGGAGATGCTTCACAGGGGGAACCTGATGTTAATGGGGTTTTGCAGCAGTACTATGTTTCATATACGAATTGTAGAGAGGAGCAGCAGGTGGTGGGAGTGTTGCTGGACCATAGCCGCAGCCTAGCTCTCACCACATGCCCTTCCTCTAAAAATTTCTTACATGCAACGTGGTACTGCTGCAAAACCCCACTTACATTCGGTTCCTCCTGTGAAGCATCTCTAACTTCTGACACGGTAGTGAAGGCGCCTTCATTACAAGCATGTGCATGTACGACTGCCACGCGGTAGTGAAGGCGCTTGCCTTGTGCATGTGACTGTACATATTTCTGTAGCAGAGAAAAAAACACTTACCAGAAGGCGCTTTCCTATAAGCACATGCATGGCTGTAGGCTCCCACGAGGGCTCGGCCTTGAGCATGTGACTGCACACGTTGTTGAAGGGGGTTGTTCAACAGTAGCATTTGCAGAGACAGAAGCCACACTCACTGGAAGGCGCTTCCCTATAAGCACATGCATGGCGGTGGCACCCCAAGAGGGCTCTGCCTTGTGCATGTGACTGTACACGGTGTCCAGGGGCAGTGGCTGTGAAGCCCCGACCAATGAGATGTCGACACGTGGCGCTGATGGGTGTGAGGTGTCAGCTAGAGAGAAGGGGACCTGTGGGGGGGGGAGGAGGAGGGGGAGAGGAAGAGGAGGGGGAGAGGAGAAGGAGGGGGAGAGCATACAAGGGAAAGAGAGGAGCATGATGGGAGAAAAGGGACAGAAATGAGCAGGCAGATCGAGTGGAGGACAGAAAAGGGAGATCGAGTAGACAACAGAAAAGAATGGTGAACACAAGGGCGATGTTTTGAGGCGCCTCAAAAGAAGGGCGACGCGGAGCAGACGATCAGGGAAAGGGCTTACAGGTTCTCCGACGCTGAAGACTTCATCTGGCTTTGATGACCCAGCCCAGCAGAGGGGTCTACTTCATAGGCGCCTGAAAAGATAGCGAAAGGCTTACAGATTGTCTGACGAGGTTGACTTGGTCTGCCTTGATGACCCAGCCCAGCAGCGGGTGCAGCTCGGAATAGAGCATCTGACGGGAGCCGAAGGGGGGGAGGGGGATGGGGGGTCAAGCCAAGGGAGGGAGTTTCGAGACAATGGGCTTGATGACCCAGCCCAGCAGCGGGTGCAGCTCGGAATAGAGCATCTGATGGGAAGAGAAAAGAGAAGCAGGGATGGGGAGGGGACCAAGTCAAGAGAGGGGGTTTCATGACACGCCACGGTGATCCAGCCCAGCCTGGCAGCGGCTCTGAATACCATACCATACCACGTCCATATAGCATCTGACTCCTCCTTAGTCCATACCATACCACGTCCATACCATACCACGTCCATACCATACCACGTCCATACCATACCACGTCCATACCATACCACGTCCATACCATACCACGTCTGATCGCTCCAAAATAGCGCAGGGCTGCTTGGCCCCGTGCGTCAGCAGCAGCGGAGAGCGCAGACAGAAAATCAAGGCGAGACTGTGAGATCCCCCCCCCCTCTCTCCTCCCACCACCACCAGGGACGGCCCAATGCTCTCCTGGCTCCTCCTTACCACGTGTGATCTCTCCACCACAGCGCGGGGCTGCTTGGCGCCGTGCATCGGCACAAGGGGGGAGCGGCGGGGAGCACGGCACACAGAAAGCCGCCAGAGGGGAGCCAAATGGGCCGAGAGAGAAAAGAACAGACCTTTAACTCCCATGATCCCATCTACCACCACAGACGCCTGATCTCACCACGCCCGCACTCACCACGTCTGACCGCTCCACCACAGCGCAGGGCTGCTTGGCGCCGTGCATCGGCACAAGGGGGGAGCACGGCACAGAGAAAGTCGCGAGATGAGATCCAAGCCTGGCTCTTGAGCCCCCCCCCACCACCAGAGACCCTCTTTCTGCAGCTGATTGGGAACCGGAAACTGATGGGGAGGAGGAGGCAGAGGAGGCGGAGGAGGAGGGAGGGGGAGAGGAGAGCTGCACGGAGCCTCTGACGAGCACTAGCTCGTGCGGGTTGGTGTAATCTGCTAGCTCGCTTGCATCCGACGGCCCCTGCCGCTGCCCCTGCGGTTGCCCCTGTGGCAGCTGCCCCTTAGAGGAAGACCCTACGGCTGACTTGGTTGACTCTACGGCCGGATTAGATGTCGTCGACCCGTCGCCCTTGCTTCTCCCTCCAAGCAGCAGCCATCTCAACCCGCCACTGCTGCTGCTGCTGCTGCTGCTGCCACTATCTGCCGCTGCGTCACCTGCGCCCCTGATGACGTCAGCACCTCTGACCCCACCGCCGCCGCCGGTTTTTCCGCCGCCTGACCCGCTGGCTCGCTGCTCCGGTGTTTCCGGCGATACGCGCCTAGACCACCACCGCCGCCAGCCGGCGCTTCCGCCAGCATTCCCCCCCCCCGAAGCCCCCGAATCCCCGCCAACCAATGGCTCTCGTCCACGTGGCGGCGGGATCCCGTTGAGCTCCGCGATGGTCGATTCGCGCGCGGATTTGAGCGTTTTGAGCGAGCGCGACACGCCGTAGAGCTGCCACCAGGCCTGCGTCGCGCTGCCGGCGAGCAAGATGCCGAAGAGAACCTCCTCCTGCGCGAGAAGCGCGCGGAGTAAAGATAACCAGCTCGCGCCGGGATCCCCGCCGCCTGACGCGCCGGAAACCCCGCCGCCAGACGACGCCATTAACGAAGAAAGCTACGGCGGGTATAGAGAGAACGGGTATGGCTACGTCCGTCTCCCTCCTCTCCAGAAGGTTGGGGACGATCGGTGATGTACAGTTGGCAGCTGACAGACAACACGACGGCAAGCCTTGGGATTGACGACGGGAAGTGATGCGGCGAGCGATGCACTATCGCAGTAGCCTAAGCCGCCATGGCTGAAATTACCCGTCCGAGGTGAAAGATGTGAGAGAGCGGAAGTACATAAGAGGACGGACACAAAATGGCACGGACGAGGCGTGCCTGGCACTCTAGCCGTTGGATGAGACGAAGCAGGCTCCGCAGCAGACCACCTGTTTCCAGGAAGGAAGGAGTGGGATGGATACAGTACACCTTTTTTTCTATTTAATCCCAAGTTTTTTGCACGCGGCCAAAGCCTGTAAGCAGGAAATGGTAAAACACGGGCAAACGGGACCTTGAAGTGGAAAACCCACAGTAAACACTGACACTTAGTTACAAAATCTCGCTCATGCACTAGATTAGTTGCCTGGCAACGTCTCAGCTCTGAAACTCGCAATTGTCGAAATTCAACTTGGTTGTTCGCTATCGTTTAGACTGCAGCCAATCAGGTTCAGTGTCAACGCGAGTCATGCTGAGAACATGGTAGGCGGGATTGCAATTTGGACTGTTCCGGGTAGGACAATAGAGAGAAATAGGTGTATTTGCAGGCAGCTTTTCCTATATGGAATCTGGTAGACGTGCAGTGGTGTCATGTTATGATAATCTCCGGATAAGAGTCGAGTTATGCAATAGTGAGGTCGTGATTAAAGTGTGTCGAGTACAAATGAAGCACAGGGCTAAATACAAGCACAGCTAGCCTAGCAAAAGAGCCTCGAGGAAGGCCACGAAACAAACGTGAGGTGGTTCAGGGCGCCTCGGGACTCGGAAGTGTCAGACGCGAAGCCGCGTGCAGGCTCGGGGTCTCGAACGCAGTTCGAATCTGAATTGTCGGGCCGAGCTTGGACTTCCGAAAGTCAGCGCTATACTCGAATTATCGAGGCTCGATAAGGAAAAGGGATTTTCCTTACACCTTCCCCCCCTCCTAGACGAGACTACCCACATTTGGGGCAGCCCGATCGTGTAAATAGACCTGCACCAATGGGTGGTTGTCGAGGGTAGCAGCTGGGACCCACATGTCATTGTCGTCACACGTACGGTCAACCCATCGAACAAGAAATTCCAAAACCCGTTGACCGTGGTCTCGACGGATTCGGTGGGAGAGGATTTGCTATGGTTCGGTGGTTGGCTCAGGGACGGGTCTGATCGAAGGGTAGAGTCGTTGACGGTCAAGATCAGTCGTGTTTGCAATGAACTGTCGAAGGAGACTGACGTGGAATGAATTGTGGATACGCCAGTCGCCTTTGCAGTAACATGTGTCACCATTCGGACAATCCAGAAGGGCCCACAAAATCTCGGACGGAGTTTATGTGTCAAGAAGGACTAGTTGCCCATGAAACAAGGGTAAATCCCGTAGATGCCTATCCGCGTACCGTTTGGTCGTAAGGTTGGCTTTTGAAATGGCCTCGGTAGCATTTTTCTGTGCAGTCTGTAAGTCCTTGATGAACTGTTGCGATCGTAGGGCAGGGCTCTCAACTAACAGTGTAGTGGGAGTCGTGGGGTTTAGACCGTAATTCAGGTAGAACGGTGATTGGGCAGTCGTTGACGAAGGGGCGTTGTTATACGCAAACTCGATCAGGGGAAGGGAATCTTCCCATAGGGTCGGGTCAGTACAGGTTGTCCGTATCAGCTGCTCCATGGTCTGATTTGTTCGTTCAGTCTTACCGTCGGTCTGTGGATGGTAAGCCGTGGACAGATGGAGACGTGTACCATACTGTTCCCACATTTTTATCCAGAAGTTGGACGTGAATCGGGGGTCACGATCGCTCATGATCGCCTTCGAGATTCCGTATAGGCGAACGACGGTTGAGATGAACAGCTTGGCAGTTTGCTCGGCTGTGATCGTCGTTCAGCATAGCGCGAAATGAGCCATTTTTGTGAGCCGGTCAACAACCACGAGTACAACATCATTTTCGGATGCGCCGACCAGCAGTCCTGTCACAAAGTCCATGGACACGTGTGTCCAGGGCTTGGCTGGCGGTTCTAACGGTTGCAGCAATCCAGCTGGCTTCTGGCGAGAGGATTTCATCAGTTGGCGGGTGGGACATGAGGCCACATATTGCTGCACGTCGTGGCTCGCATTCGCCAATAATAATATCGTTGGAGCATTTTCAAGGTTTTATCAACCCCGAAATGCCCTGAGCAATTAGCGTCATGAACCTCCTGTATCAGTAATTCCAGTAACAGTTAGTAAGATGGAACCCAAATTTGGTCAGTACCAGCTTTTAGGTGGTAGTGGCCTCGTTGAGTGGTCAGGGTCTGGTGGCCGTTAGAGGTGAAGAGAGGATCCGTATTGTAGTCGTGGGTAAACAATCCGGTTAGCAGCGGGTTAGCTTGGGCGATACGGTGGCTGTATGGGCAGTAGGGGGGGAAAGGGCATCGGCCTTCTTGTAGGTGATGGGGTAGTCGAAGTTGGACTCGAGATATTCGAGCCAACGAATCTGTCGTGGATTGAGGGTCGGTTGGGCTCGGAGGAACTGTAGGGACTTGTGGTCTATTCGAACAGTAACGTCGGCACCGATTGGGTAGCAACGCGAGGTCTTGAAAGCATTTACGATCGCAAGCATTTCCTTGCCGTGAACCGGGTAATTCCGTTCAGCGCCTTGAAGTTTCCGCGAGTCGTAGGCGATTGGCTGCAGGCCTTCACCAAAGTCCTGTAATAATACCGCGTCAACGACGATGTCGCTGGCGTCCGTAACCAGTTCATATGGGCGGTCGGGGTCGGCAATACGAAGAACGGGTGGTGTCATGAGGAATTTTTTCAGTTGGTCAAACACAGCTTGCTGCCTAAAAACTCCCTTCTGCAACAAATTAGTTAACGGGGCTGTTGGCTCCGCCATTTTAGATGCGCACGTAGTTGACGAACCCCATAAAACTCTGCAACTCCTTGACGTTTGTAGGCGGTTCTCGGTTGCAAATAGTGTCGATATTTTTCGGGTCAATTTCAATGCCTTCGGTTGAGATGACGTGGCACAGGAATTCCAGCTCCTCTTTTAAGAACTCGCACTTAGAGCTCTTGGTGATGAGTCGGTGTTGATCGCAGAGGGTAGAATTGAAGATTTTGATGGAGAATCTTCAAGATCTTGTTGAAGAGTCTTCAAAAGTCTTCCAAGTTCTTGAGATGTTGGAAGCTTTGATCGAGCTTGAAGAAGTCTTCAATGTCTTGAGGATTTCTTCAAGTCTTGAAGGAGCCTCTAGATATATAATCTAGGATCCTCTAAAAAAATTAAGGCAAGCAAAAATGGCCACACAAGGCCAAGAGCAACCTTAGCTCTAGATACCAATGTTACAACCAAGGCTATTATAGTAGGGTTGGCAACAAGGTGGAGGAGCTCCTAGAGTTGAGTTGCTTAGGTGGCATTTTAGGTTGGGCTGCTACCCATTTGAGAGCAAGTGTGTGGAAGAAAATGTTGGATTGAGTTGGTTGTAACACCAACTGTCAATCTGTGGTTGGTTGCAAATCTAACCATTGGTTGGCAATGTGTAGGCTTGGGAATTCCCAAGCCTCAACATAAAGGGTTGGAATTTCCAAACCACATTTGCCTTGGGTTGGGTGGTTAACCACATTTATACACTCAACCCATCCTTCCCTACCACAACTTTCTCATGTTTGCGACCTAGCGCAGTTCACGCTATGGCGCCCTAGCTAGGTCGCGCCAATTACGCTAGGTAGATTTAGTTTGTGTTACAATGATCACACTCCGCTCCTCTCCGCTCCGCTCCGCTCCCCCCCGCTCCGCTCCACTCACCATCTTCCCACGCGCAAGTTCCGCTCCGCCTATGTCCTCTTCGCGGGCCCGTCGACCTGGGGGCTTATCCCCCTATAACTCTCATGTGAATTGTAGCCATGGCTCCATTGTCAAAGTTTCCTCCGCCTTGTGCCACGAGCTGTGTACCATCGGCTGTGTTGTACCATCAGCACCTTGTTTACAGCACCGGCGTGTTCTGAAATGATGCTTCTTTGTTCGTCAGAAACAGAGCGATCTCCCATGCGATCATACTAGTACCATAGTTTCTTAAATCCCCTGCCTTCCAAGGCACCCGTGATGCGCTGCTTTTGTTGGAAGCCGTCAAGGTGTCAAGCCATAAGGCCTTCAAGCCGTCAAGTCGTCAAGCCGTCAAGCCTTCAAGCCGTCAAGCCGTCAAGCCGTCAAGCCTTCAAGCTGTCAAGCCTTCAAGCCATCAAGCCTTCAAGCCGTCAAGCCGTCAAGCCTTCAAAAGGGGCAGCCTTCGAGTAGGAGTGCTTCCCGCTCTTACTACCACGCCCCATGGCCACCTGTCAGGCCGTGCTTCTACTGCTCCTTGCCGTCATTGGCGGTAAGTCCAACCCCTCTCCCTCTCGTCCCCTCCCTCTCCCTCGTCCCTTCCATCTACCACTTGTCACCTCCCCCTCCCTCTCGTCCCCTCCCCCTCCCTCTCGTCCCCTCCCCCTCCCTCTCGTCCCCTCCCCCTCCCTCTCGTCCCCTCCCCCTCCCTCTCGTCCCCTCCCCCTCCCTCTCGTCCCCTCCTCCCTTCTCTCGTCCCCTCCCCCTCCCTTTCGTTCCCTCCCCTCCCCCTCCCTTTCGTCCACTCCCTCCCCTCTCCCTTTCGTCCACTCCCCCCCCCTTTGCTTTCGTCCCCTCCCCTCCCCCTCCCTGGAGCTGCAGGCGGCCCTTGAGAGACCCTTGGTCCTTAGCGGCTATGAGCTGCACGTGTTGGATGGACCTCTGCCTGATTATGTACGGCATGCGCCCCACTCCTTGTTCCTACACGTGTTGGATGGCCCACTCCTTGTTCCTGCGTGCAGTGGCAGGGATGGTGGCGCAGGTGGCATCTGCAGGCGCCGAGGCCACGGTGAGCGTCAACGCGAGCAAGCGCGTGGGGGTGGGAAGCACAAGTAACCTGGTGGGCAGCACGAGTGGCGTTGTGGGCAGCATGAGTGGCGCTGTGGGCGTTGGGAGCGCGGGAGTGGTGGACACGCAGGTGTAGGTGGCGACACAGATCTCGGTGTTAGGTGTCAGCCTCGACATCAGCTTCGATGCCCTGCGCTGCTTTAGCCTTCCCAAGGCGGCCGTGAAAGCGGCACGAGACGTGCAGGTGTGGTGGCACAGACTCATGGG